CTCCTAGTTCCACCAGTCGGCATTCTTTGGCTTACCGAATCTGTAGTACAGGGATGTCAAACTTATTTCATTGAGGGCCGCATCAGGGTTGTGTTTGACCTCAGAGGGCCAGGGTGGGCGTGACCAGCTTGACGTCACTCATGTCGGGGGCACCTGTGGTGGCCTGAACATTCTGCCAGTAAAAACGGGCTCCTAAGCTCAGTTTTTGGATGGGATGGCCTCCTGCAACCCTCTGCCAGCGAAAAGGGAGCATGTGGCCTTCCTGAGCTCTGTTTTTGGCTAGGATGACCTCCTGCAACTCTCTGCCAGTGAAAAGGGAGCATGTGGCCTTCCTGAGCTCTGTTTTTGGCTAGGATGGCCTCCTGCAACTCTCTGCCAGAGAAAAGGGAGCATGCGGCCCTCCTGAGCTCCATTTTTGTTGGCAGAGGCACCGCGGGCCGGTACTTGGCTGTTTCCAGGGCGGCTCCATGGGCCAGATAAGCACTCCGCGGGCTGGATCCCTTGAGTTTGACATCCCTGCTGTAGTATGTCCAATCTGTTGGATCTAATTGGACAGGTAGAAACTCTTGGAAAAAGACATTCCCTCAGATAATCCAGTCCCAAGCCATGAATGAATTGTAAATTCATACTGATAAACAGTATGTGAGAAAAGTTATCATGCTAACCTGTCCAATTATAGCTCCTTTTTGGGAGTCTGGATAGTTGTATCAAATGGAGACTACAGAGATGAAATCCTCTTCAAACCGACTCAAAACAAAACAAAACAAACTTTCTTTAATAGAACTGCATTTCACCTCTGATACTATTTTGTTACAAGAAAAAACCTTTCAAAGTAGACAATGTTGTACATATTACAAAAGCTATTTTCCAATTTACATTTTTAGAGACCAGGGAACTGACCAGAAAGTATATATTATGGTATGAAAATGATGGAAGAAATATATTATTCTTTTGGCCAAAAGTCTGAAATGTTTTAATACTCTAATGAAATTAGTGGAAAGTAAAATATCTTCCCAGGGCAGCAAAACAATAATTATTCTTGTTTGTGGCGGCATGCTACTTTTCCTGTTTCAGTATCTAAAGAAACTTTCAAAAGAAAGATATAGGCCAGCATATTCTTTCTGTCTTTTGTAAAGCAATACATATTAAAAAGTAGCTTCCTATCTTTTCTATTTTGCAAGGCCAAAGAGAAAGACTAGGTCCGTGATGGTGAACAGGTGGCACACAGAGCCCTCTCTGCTGGCACGCGTGCTGTCGTCCCAGGTCAGATCTCTGTGGTGTTTATTTCGTGAGCTTCTGTTTCCCTGCAAATAATGAAACAGAAGCTCACGAAAGAAAAAGATCTTAACTCTTGCTGTGCTGCCTGTGTTGGGATGTCCCGCCTCCCACCTGGACTTCGGGTCTCTGCTACACATGCGCGCATGTCCACACATTCACGCACGTATGTCTGTGCATGTGTGCATGTCCACACACGCATTTGCGAGTGCGCACACCTTTCAGTTTGGGCACTCGTTGTCTAAAAGGTTTGCCATCACTGGACTAGGTGGAAGAAAAAGTCTTTAAAAGAATGAAGGGAAACAAGCATTATTTTCCCGCCAGCAGATGGCATCCAAAGCACATACTTGAAAGATTGTTACTCAGATTAGGAATGCTAGAAATTTCATTAACTGCATTTTGGAAGCTTGCGCAAATTTTAGCACAATTATAAACATAATATTCCATATTATGCAAAAAAGAAACATCTACATTATGCTTTTGAATTGTTACTAAATTAACCATTTGTCTTTAGTTTCTTTTTTTCATTGGTAGTTTTAAAACTATACAAATTTTAACCTTTATATTATAACACTTCCTCTTTTAAACTATCATCAACATCATTGCCAGAATTACATACAGGTAGTCCTCGATTTACAACAATTCATATAGTGACCGTTTAAAGTTGCAGTGGCACTGAACAAAGTGACTTATGACCATTTTTCACACTTACAACCATTGCAGCATCCCCATGGTCATGTGATCAAAATTCAGTCACTTGGCAACGGACTCATATTTATAATTGCTGAAGTGTCCTGGGGTCATGTGATCCCCTTTTGCAACTTTCTGACAAGCCAAGTCAATGGGGAAGCCAGATTCACTTAACAATGTTACTAATTTAACAACTACAGTGATTCATTTAACAAATGTGACAAGAAAAGTTGTAAAATGGGGCAAAACTCATTTAACAATTGTCTTGCTAAGCAACATAAATTTTGAGCTCCATTGTGGTTGTAAATTGAGGACTATGTGTAATGATTAACTTCTTCCTCATTATGAGAAAAGGGAGAGATTGAAAGAAGTGACTGATTTTAAATCATAACAGAAACAAAACTGTTCAATCACAAGCTAAAACTAAAAGTGGGCACCCCAAAACAGTATGTACAGAAAGATCAGAGAGGAAAAAAACAGTAATTGAATTTCAGAGGGTTCTAGGATGAAGAGATAATTAGAAAGCGAAGTACAGATTTTAGAAAGCAACAGAATAAAAAAATAGAAAAGCGGATAACTGAAGAAAGTCAGAATTAAGTCTAAACTAGTGCTTCCTAAACCTTTTGCCTCATTATTCAAAATTGCTTATTGGAATGTTCTTTTTACAGCTTATCAAAGAAGTCCTTATTTAAATGTCCCTGTTTCGACTGAGTAATGAGTTTGTGTGTTGTTACCCAAAGAAAAAACACTTTCACCCAACTTTGGATAATTTACTCAGAGTTTGAGATGCTCTGGTCTAATTTATGTGAATTCTAATTTTAATTAAATTAGGTTTTATAGAATTTGTTTGAAATGTATGAAACTTATAGAACGTATTTTTGTAATATTCAGTTGTATCCACTAGAGGGTAAATATAATTTTTCAAGTTATTTTCTACATGAAAAATTAGGGCCTTACATAAACTAGTATATATACAACACAAATATACAACTACATTAAGAAAACACTTGCATGAGGTGATATTATAAGCAGCTACTATATGCTGGTTTGTTTTATATGAATAGAAGTTATTATTTACAAATATTTTGCACGTTTTACAAAACAGATACTGCCGAGGTAATAAAGCATTGATTAAAACTCAGCTTGATACAAAGCAAGAAGGAACTGAAGACCAAATTATATGAACATACGAATTATATGAAGGTACTGGCTATGTTCAGCTTGAAGAAAATTGCAGTAAAATTAACATTCAAATATCTGAAAATACTGTAGCTATGAAGTACAGCAACTTTGTTTTCTGTTATTTCAAAGAGAAGAATGAAAATACAGTTTAATTTTAAAAGTTTACAAGAAAGAATTTAGAGATGAAATACTAGGAAAATTTCCTGATAGTACAAAGAAAGCAGTTGAGAATGAAAAAGGTTGTCAATGAAAGTCATTCACTAGTGCCTTTTTGATGGCTCTTCTGTCAAGTGCTAATCTGTAGTGTATTTCTTGATTGCTGATTCATTTACTATTAATGGTTGATCCCAAAAGCTACCAATATCTACACTGTCAATACATACCATTGAATAGTTTACTATTTGCATAATTTAATCATTTTAATCAATTGTATTGAGCTATCTCATTTAGTATGATTTAAATAGATGATGATTTTATATATCTTTCTATGACTTGTCCCTAGTTCACCAATACATTTTAAATTGATATTCCTTTTGGTTCCAAAAGGAATTGATTTACTTGTTACCTTCCATTAGCTTGCTTAAGAAACTCATCAAAAACTCATCAAGGGATCGGTTTTTTTCACAGAATCTATTAGAGGAAGATGGTTATTAATAGTGACAAATGGCTATCAGGGATGCCAAGCAGACAATTTCCTGCACTGGCTTAGAGTAACCTAGCTTTATCTGACATCAGCTCCTTAAAGAAGGTCAAACTGTTCCATCACATCTTCTGCTACAATTGAGCTAACTTCTACTTTAGGGAAATGAGATTGAAACACAGGATTCAAGTCTATCTTTAGTCACAGAACTCCAAGTGACTGTGACCTAGTCACTCTCTCTCAGTCTAACCTACTTTACAACAAGCACTTATATATCAAGAACACCTACACATCCAAAAGATGTAAATATACTGTAGAGACTTTATGGATATGGGTTTACTGTTAAAATTATGGAGTGGTAACTTCACTGATTACAAAATGCGCTTTCAGAGGAATGGGAGTATTTAATAGGCAAATTGAGACATAAGGAATGTGCCCTTGCAACTCACAGTGGCCCCATGGTTAAGTTTTATCTTTATCCAATCACTGAATTTCAAGATGCAAATGTTTCTTTTAAGACTGTTGTCCTATGTAGATAACAGAAGGGCAGAAAGTAAACTGAGATCTATTACACTAACACTCATGAACATGTAGGCATGTTCATTTCCCCCTCCATTCTGAAATGTATAAAAGAATGCATCTTTTTGTCTGCAGGGGTGTGTCTCTCACTATTGTTTTAAAGAAGACCCTCTCCAGTAAGTACTATCTAATAAACACTACAGTGAGCTTGATTATTTGCTTTGGGTCCTGTTTTGATTCTACAGAAACTGACATCAGAAAATTCACAACCTTCAAGCTTCAACCAGATGACAACAGGGCGCCGTATAGGGTGAGTGTTGTGGTGAGTTTGATCTCATGTCCCTTCCTGCTGCCAAATGAGGGCACCATTTAGAAGTGTGTGTAAGGTAACCGTCTATGCCTAAAAGTCTAAGGAAGTTTGTTGGATGAGCATTGTAAACCGCCCTGAGTCTCCGGAGAAGGGCGGCATTATAAATAAATAATTTTTTTTAAAAAAGTGTGACCCTCCTAATTTTCAGCTGCCACTGGCCCTGCTGCGAACTCAATTTATTTTCCCCACAAAAGCATAAACCATCCTTAACACATTCCTGTCTTCAGTGTACATCTATGAAGTTATTACTTTATTTATTTGGTAAATTATATAGCTGCCCATCTCACATTCCTTACTTATTGTTGCTCAAAGTGCATTACTTACATTTGGTCTGTGCAGTTGAGAAACGAAGTGTTAGCTTGGCAAAAAGATCATCACTCTCATAACGATCCTCCTTAGCTTTCACCCAGAAACAGCCTTCAGATAATTCCTGTACTGTAATCTGTAAAGGTTACATATAACATGGCATAATCCCTATAAATACCATTGCAGATTCCTATTGCAGTTTAAGTGTCCTGTACATATTTTAAGCATAAAGACCATATGCCTGTTAGAAAACATGTTATTTATTTGTTCATAAGCTTTTATGAAGCAAAAATCATTTCATAAATAGTGTTAGTCTGGAGATAATATTGCTGAATTACATTTATCAATTTGTGGGATTAATTTATTATGCATTTTTCATATCATCATGAAATGTAAGAGGTGGCTGGCTACCTTTCTACCCATAAGAGGTCAGATAAGTGGGGCACAAATAAAAAAAGAATAATGTAATTACATGCTTAATGCTAGCTCTTATGTTGCAGAAAATAAAATAGTTCTGATTAGCAGAGACAAACATGCAAGGAAATGCATCTCAAAAACTGGCAGGCATCAAAAGATTTTAAACAGAGAAGCCAATGGAGAAAATTCCAGGGTGTATGTATTACCCAATATTCTAGCTAATGATTTTTAAACCAGAAACCTTCTGCAAGGTTTCATTCAATAACAGATACTGTAAGCCTTAAAATATTCTGGTCCTAAATTATATACGGTTAGGATATGTACAACTACATTTTCCAACTGATAAGGATATTCACAAAATATCTAAAAGTTTAAAAAACTTAAGACCACAATAACTGTGCTGTTTAAAATTCATACATTGAATTTTATTTCTAAAAAATTAAAAGCAGTATTAAATATCAAAAGAAATTTTTCATCATTTTAAAAGATTATACATAGAGGTAAATTGACACATTTATTAAGTATCAAGAATACATCCAACTTTATATCTCATAAAATTCTGCAAAATGAATTAGTTCTGCAACAACCAGTAAATAATCTTTTCTAGTCCTCAGCATTCAAAATCTTGAACACAGAGTAATTAACGGGAAAAAGCACTGGTAGACTGAGGAGCTTGAAAAAGGAAAAGGAAACATTGACAATGGGTAAAATATATCTAATTATCAATTACAAGAAATCACCTTGGACCAGTTAGTTCTCCTAAGCTGAACTTCTGGTTTGTAAACCTTCTTGGGAGGCAATCCAAATGGAAGAATTGGGGCTGACATAATTCCAAAACCAGATAGAGTAGGAGGTGGTGGCGGCATTGGTATCCCAAACTGATGTGGAGGGGGCAGCCCTGACATCCCAGGTAGAGGTGGTGGGGGAGGGGGTAATCCTGGCATACCAGGCAGAGGTGGTGGGGGAGGGGGCAACCCTGGCATACCGGGCAGAGGTGGTGGGGGAGGGGGGAACCCTGGCATACCGGGCAGAGGTGGTGGGGGAGGGGGTAATCCTGGCATACCAGGCAGAGGTGGTGGGGGAGGGGGCAACCCTGGCACACCGGGCAGAGGTGGTGGAGGAGGGGGCAATCCTGGCATACCGGGTAGAAGTGGTGGGGGAGGGGACAACCCCGGTATCCCAGGTAGAGGTGGTGGGGAAAGTGGCAACCCTGGAATCCCAGGTAGAGGTAGGGGAGGGGGTGGGGGAGGTGGTAATCTCAGCATCCCAGGCAAAGGTGGGGGAGGAGGCCCTGACATCTCAGGTAGAGCAGGTGGAGGGGAAACAGTTTGTGAAGAAAGGGATGAAGGGATTTGGTGACTTTCTGTCCCGGTAGGTAATGGTTGCTGTGATGGGAAACCCGTAGATGAAATGACATGCTTCATTTTCTTCTTAAGTTCTTCAAGTTCTTTGGTCAGAAGAGCAATCTTTAGAGAAAGAAGTAGAACAAATCAGACTGGAAAAGTCACATTTCTAAACCACAAAAATAAACAGACTGCCCATCTCTAAGCCATTATTCACTATTATTCACTAGGCTTAGGACCGGGGTATCTACGAGACCGTCCTCTGCCACCAGTGGCCTCTCACCGACCAGTACGCTCCCATAGAGAGGGGCTCCTCAGGGTGCCGTCGGCCAAACAATGTCGACTGGCGGCCCCCAGGGGGAGAGCCTTCTCTATGGGGGCACCTGCCATCTGGAACGAGCTCCCCCCGGAGATACGGAGGATCCCGGACCTGTGCGCTTTCTGCTGTGCCATCAAAACATTTCTTTTCCAGCAGGCTGGCCTGGCCTAACCTCTCTTTTAAACTTTTTTAAAAATTTTTAAATTTGTCCTATGAATTGGGGTGTTTTAAATTTCATTTTTCGGGCCAATTATTTAATTGTATTTTAATGGGTTTTTTAACATTTGTATTATATGTATTTTATTTGACTGTTCACCACCCTGAGTCCTTCGAGAGTAGGGCGGTATACAAATTCAATAAATAACAACAACAACAACAACAACAACAACAACAACTACCCTGTTGATATTTCCTTTACTCCTTTGGGGTTTTGAGATTGCTCTTTGTGTAACCCAATGCAACAGATACAAGAATAGGCAGATCACACTGAATTGGTAGTCTTATTCTGATTTAGGGCTGTGTGATTCCTGCACAAGAGATCCTTTGGAACACAGCTTTCTGAATGGTCAAAGCAGGACTTTTTTCCAGGCTTACAAAGCTACTCTGGAAGCTGATCATGGTTTTTCTGAACCAAGCATGAACAATACAGAACAAAGTGGCTGTGCAAGCAAAGTGTGAGGAGACACTGTGTAAACTGGTTAGCGCCCACAATGGAAAAAGACAAACCTATTATATGATTCAAAAAGTACTCTATTAATGTTCCTAAAGCATGCTTGGTTCAGAAAATCTTTTTTTCAGATTGTAACACATTGCACATCTGATTTAACATTTCAACCTAACCCAGTTGTAGATGGTTAGTATGTGGGGCTCTCAATGTTTCTGCCCTAAGAGATACAATTAGGATTTTCAGAGTAAATTATAGGTATTTTCACAAAACAGCTGCCATGATGAAAGTAGAAATTGGAAAGATTGCTTTTTACTACTACTTCAACTTTTTATCATGTCAGCTTACTTTCCAATTTTTTAAGGATGTGCAAATTTCCAGAAAAAGCATGCTGTAGTGGGCAACTATCATTTTATTTTCTAAAAATAATTCTGGAGGTCACAGGGAGACCAAATTATTGTTGCCAGCAGAACTTATGGTAGAAAAAAAGCTTTGAACACAGCCAGACTGGCACTATAGGAGATGCTGTCAGACATACTGCAATGCATTGGACCACACCAGTAACCCAGGGTTTATTATAGGGCGCTCATATTTCTCAACTAGCAACTTGTTATATTTGCTATAAACTGTCAAGACATAATTGGATGTGGTGGGATATAAATCCATAAATAAATGATCTGCTTCAATCCCAGAATTTATATCCAATTCATTTTATTCACAAAGAACAAAACAAATGTTTTACATCATGCCACCAACTATCCTGACTCCCTCTCTTGAACATCATAATAAAAGGGATGTCATATAGTGTGGAATAGCAACATTTACATGCATCCATTAACATCCCAATATCCTAAAATTTTACAGTACAGCTTTTGATGTCCCATTACCCATTCTTTCTCCAAGAAAATAGCAATATTTCTTCTTCCATTTTATGATTCTTGAGACTTAGGACTTAAACATTAAATGGCACGTTTCTCTAATGTAATCAGTTTATTTATACCATTGCTCATTACCTCATCATTCAACAAAGAGCTATTAATTTCTAAGTTTTGCTTCTCTGAGGTAATACGCTGTTTCTCAGCTGCCACTGTTTCTTTCTCCTGAAGTAAATTTTGAATTTTTTCCTCAAAATCACTTTCCTTCTTCTTCATTTCAACTTGTAATTCATGACGTGCAGTCAACTCAGATTCCAGCTGAAAGAAAGAATTATGCACAATAATCATGCCAATATACTCCATATGCCATATTGGTTAAATCTCAAGCGAGATAATATTTTCCTTCTTGGGGAGTACAACAGACAATGCTGATTAGATGACAAGGAGATAAAATTTAATACTACTAAATATGAAAACATTTCAGCAGAGTATGCGTTAATTAGTTTGTCATAATCCAGGTCAAAAATGAAATTATTAAATAAAAGGAAGTTTTACATGTAATAACAAAACCATTATTATAAAATTCTGAAATATACAGTAATCTTTTAAGAAAAATAGTAAAGAAAAATGTTCCAATGTTTGTGTTTTCTGTGTTACATTTTACTTTGGTGAACATTTTAAAGATAAGCCAATTTTATACTGTCTTTGTAAAAAAAAGCAGAATATAGCTTTTAATATAGATGGATGAATGAATGAGTGACATTTTCAGAGCACTGGCAGTTCTAAACCCTGGACAAAAAGAAGATGAGGTAACTTGTATTAGTATAAGTGCAACATGCTAGGAAAGCAAATGAAATTCTTAAGTGATGCTGACATATCAGGTCACTATTCTATGTAGCTTGGTTTTATCTTGGTCAGCCGTGATTTACCAGAAATCCTTCCCTCTTCTGCTATTCAAGGTCCTTTTACTTGAGGTGACAAGGACTGAATCAGAACCTTTTGCAAATCTCTCTTGGCTGTAGGATTTGTTTTTTCTTTTTAGTTGATACATTTAAAATTAATTTCTTTAATAAATTAATATCTCTTCTTGATTCCTAATACAATTTTCTTATAAGATAAGATATTCAGAATGATGTGTGAACAATTACCCCTGGTCTATAAAGTCTAGATTTAATGATAGTTTTCCACTTTATCAATGAAGAACAATGTTGTTTCCTTCTATCAATTAGTACAAGGGTCCCCAACTCCCGGACCACAGCCAGTTCGGAACAGGGCCACACAAGCGGCGGCCTGGTTCCGAACTGGCAGTCATGATGCAAGAAACTCCACTCACGAGTGGTGAGTGCTTGCGCCCATGTGCGCAGCCCCTCACAAATGCAACTCCACTTGCACAAGTGGCGGGATTTCACACGTGAAGCTCCACTTGTGCCAACGCCAGGCACTTGCACTCGTGCTATTGTAGTTGTACGTGCTCATGCATACACACCTGCCACTCACAGGGAACCATCCCCCCCCATGCTGGGCCACCAAGCCGCAAAGGCTAGGGATCACTGAATTAAAAGTACTGAACTGTTGCTGCCACCTGCCTTTTCTGGCATTAAATATACAAGTAAATTTGGTAGGACTTGGTCTATATACTGTTAAATGTTTGCTAGCAATAGTAAAAATCCTCTAGCAAATTAAAAATATACAGGATGATGTGTATTTAAGATTAATACATGAATTATACATATAACCTACTTTAGAATGTTTAAGCTTATACATATTTTTCTTTTCAAATGCACCACGATGAGAAATAGAAAAAATAAACCTGTTTATAAATATATAGTTAGTTAATTCAGAAATGTTAAAAATAAAGGACAATGAAAATAAAAGTTTATGATAGCATGCTACTCAGTGAAAACTTTGGCATACCACTTCCTATTTGGGGAATGACTTTTATGGCACCCCATGAAAAAACAGTATTGCAGCAATGTTCTAACTGTTATTGCTGTTATTGCTGCAGAATTTTAAAAAAAGAATGTACTTCTGAAGATGAAACCAGTATCAATACAGACCTGTAATGTTTGGGAGAAAGCCAAGGGAATACTCCTCTTGCATACTTATAAATACTTCTCCTCTTTGCATACTTATAAATAGTAGTCTATGAGTACTAAAGAACAGAGGCATCAAGAAAAAAGAACTCAACAGAAATAAACAGCAAAGGAGTTTTTTTAAAAAATGAAGATATTTAAAAACACAAAAGTAAATTTAAACTGTTCTGAGTAAGGAAAAAGCCAGTAAAATAAAGGAAGAATAAAGTAAAGAAATAAAGAAATAAAGAAAAAAATATGATTGTAACCTTCTTCTCCAATTCCAGGGTTTTAGCTTCACTTTTTGCCACCTTAGTTTGATCAATGAAATTATCTACAGGGAAAAAAAACCAAAGTAAGAATACTGTGAGAAAAATTCCCCTTTACACTAAGCAACCCTATAGAATAGAGGTGCATACTTTTGGGGAAGGAGTGGGCTTTTTCATTCTTTGAGTGGCATCCTCAGGTTGTGCAATTGTATAGACGTAGGGGAAAAACTGAACTGGATTTTATTTTATTTATATTTAATTTAAATTTAGTGAATGTAGTTAATTTCTGGCCACCTATTTAATTATTAATTGCATCACATTTATACTGTACTTAGCTGCAGGTGTAAATGCTATAGCAATTACCAAACTAAAAATTATAATTTACTACTGAAATCTTTGAAAGCCACACTCAAAGCTTTCAGGAGGCAAATATAGGTCGGAGCACAGCTCTATTGTAAAGCCTTACTCAAGGTTATGCATTGCTTTGTTACGTCCTGTTGTGGCCCACCAGCGGCCTACATGGATTGCTGCTGATCCCGATTATGAGGAGGCTGGTGTGGTGTTGCGCCAGCAGCCTGTGCAGCCGGCGCTCGAGTCGGACAGCGAGGAGGCTGAAGAAGATGTGGTGCCAGAGGCAGGGATTCAGCCAGGGCCTTCAGAACCTCCAGAGGCTGCTTTAAGTGAAGAGGATGAAGTGGAGGAGCCTCTTCTCAATGCACAAGCACACAGAGCTGCCAAAAGACAGGAGTGGTTACTCAGGAGGAGGTCTCCTCAAGAGTAAGGCTTGGGGCTAATTGGCCACTCCCTTAGCCTATTTAAGTTTGCACACAGCTTGTAAAAAACTGCAGGAAACAACGTGTGTTCGCTGATCATTGAGTTTGAATTTTCTCTGCAAACCTGGCTTCTGGGCTTTCTGCCAACTCTAGTAAGACTCTATCTTATCTGTGGAATTTCTGGCAGGTTGTTAAGAATGTTTTATTAATAGCCTGCATTTGCAAAAAGACTGTGTTTTGAAGTAAACTGAGTTTTGTTCGGAGTTTGTGTGCTACATTCTTTGGGATCCGTAGCTGGGGCAGAACACGTCCTTGATTTACCAGACATAGCTGAATATGTACATATCTGTCTTTCACTCATGTCTTTTACTTTTCACTCATGTAACAGATCAGAAATAGATCATTTCTTGTGTCTCAGTATAACTGAAAGAGCAAAAAATGTCATGCTGGAGAGGTTTTCACCATGAAATAAAAGTACAATTGTGGCAATGCTTTCAATAGATTGTAGGTACTTTGAGTAAACAGTAAGAAGTATTCTGCAATCTTTATTCTTTAAAAAAATCTAATATACTAATATATTAAAAATCTAATCAATTAATATACTTAAGCTGAGTGATTTAGTTTTTACAATGGGACAAAAAATGATACAAATATATTCACTTTCTGTCAGCTCATATAATAGTAACAAACAGAAAAATACATTTTTCCTGGACAATTAGCAAAATAAATATAGCTATCAGTGGCATCAGACTCACCTATTAAGGCCTCAACATTAAAGTCAAAGTGTTTGCGCTTAAAGTCTGGGTCAGCCCCATTCCTGAACAGAACTATCTGTGAAATGCATTCATCGATTAGTTTAAAATATTGAGGCCTAAGGCAAGAACAGATATTAAAAAAAAGATATTAGTGCTGATAATCAGAAGTAAAGCTTCCTACTCAAAAAAGTATGTACCGTGTTTCCTCAAAAATAAGACCCAGTCTTATTTTCTTTTAGGCCCTGAAATAAACACTAGGGCTTATTTTCAGGGATTGTCTTATTTCTTTTGAGTGCCATTGCCACGAGGTGGGGAGGTGGAGATACCCAATGCACACACCAGCTTACCTGAGGGCCCCTGTGGCTCCATGCCCCGACAACTGGCTTGCAGCGGCAGCACCAACAAACATGTGCAGCAAGAGCCCATGGGACCACAGCCCCCCTTCTTCCAGCACCATACTCGCTGGTGCTGCAGCCACGAGGCAAGCCGGGGAGGGGGTGGAGGATAAGGAAAGGTAGGGGAGGGGGTGGAGCTGCCACATGCGCATGCTGACTTACCTCAGGCCCCGCGCAACCAGGCCACACACCCCTAACACTAACTCACAATCCCTAACCCTAGCCCTAACCCCAGAGCAAATTGCCTTTGTATAATCAAGCCCTGGAAGATTATGGGAAGCATGTGTTTAGAAGCAATGTGCAGCCTCTTTCAGTAATGAGAATTGCAGGAAATGCTGTCCCTTTCAAACAATCTTCCAGGGCTTGAACGCCACACTTTCAGCTTGATTTCCCACCCCACCCCCGCCAGGCTAGTCTGGTGGGCAGGATTGCCTTCTGCCTTCCCCACTGCTGTGGTCAGCAACCACAGGAGGTGGTCAGGAGGATTTTGCATTAACCTTCCCCTGGATTGGGGAGGGAATGGAGATTTTACAGTATCCTTCCCCTGCCATGCCCACCAAGCCACACCCCAGAATCGGTAGTTTTTTTTATTGAAAAGTTTTTAAAAGTTTTACAAACGTTTCCCCTTCCCCCTCCCTCCTCCCCTTCCAACCCTCCCCTCCCCTTCCCCTCCCTCCCCCCCCCCCACTTCCCAGAGCAAAATACAGGGTATAACATTTGACAACCATAAACTAACATAAGCTAATTATCTATAACCTCCTATCCCCCTCTTGAACTTTTAACTCCCCTTTTACTAAACTAAATTTAAGTACTTTATAAAATCTCTTTGATCATTCATAAGCTTTTGAAATTTTTTAGTCCGATATTTGCCTTGAATATAATCAATCCATCTTCTCCATTCTAACATATATTTCTCATTTGGATGGTCCTTTAGATATGCTGAAATTTTCGCCATTTCTGCTAAATTTACTACTTTTAGTGTCCATTCTTGAATAGTAGGTAAATCTTCTTTCTTCCAGTACTGCGCCACAAAGAGTCTTGCTGCAGTTATTAGGTTCAAAATCAAATTAGTCTCTATAGCCATACAATCTGTAATTATACCTAACAAAAACAACTGTGGAGTAAACTTTATCCTTTTTTAAAAAATATTTTAAATAATCCACCATATTTTTATCCAAAATGCTTTAACTTTTTTACAAGTCCACCAAACATGAAAATAAGTAGCATCAACACAATCACATCTCCAATATTTGGGTTGTAGGTTTGGGTACATACAAGCTAACTTTTTGGGATCCAAATGCCATCTATAAAACATTTTATAAAAATTTTCTCTCAAATTTTGGGCTTGTGTAAATTTTACATTTCTTACCCAGATCCTTTCCCATGTTTCCATCATTATTGGTTCCTCAAAATTTTGTGCCCATTTTATCATACAATCTTTAACTAACTCTGTCTCCAAGTCTATTTCTATCAATATATTATACAACCTTTTTATGTGCATTTGACTCTGGTCCCTAATTTGTTTTATCAAATTTTCTTCACTTTGTGTAATACCAATTTTCTGATCTTTTTTCCATCTATTCTGCAGCTGTACGTACTGAAACCAGGTTTGAATTGCCCTTTCCTCTCTTAATACATTCAAAGACTTTAACTGTAGTACATTTCTTTCTGTAATCAGAAGTTCTATATAAGTAATTACATCCTGTCTTTGTTCTATACTTATATTTTCTATTGCATGTCTGGGTACTACCCACATGGGTATCTTGCCATTCAATTTATATTGGTATTTTTTCCAAACACGCAGGAGAGCATTCCTTAATATGTGACTTTTGAAAGTCCTATCCACCTTCTTCTCATAAACTAAGTAGGCATGCCAACCATATAGCAAATCATACCCTTCAATATTCAATATTCTTTCATCTGTTAAATTAATCCAGTCACTAATTGCTGACAAAGCAGCTGCTTCAGAGTACAATTTTAGATTGGGCAATTTCAAACCTCCTCTTTCACGTATATCCTGCATTATTTTTAATTTGACTCTCGGTCTCTTCCCTACCCAAACAAAGTTATTAATGCCTTTCTGCCATTCCTCCAAATTTGCATCCTTTTTAAGTATTGGTATCATTTGAAAGAGAAATAGAAACTTGGGCAAAACATTCATTTTAACTACTGCTATTCTTCCCAACAAAGACAGTTGTAATTTTTTCCATTTATCCATCTGTATCTGTATTTTATGCCATAACAATTCATAATTATACTTGTATAATTTCCCATTTGACATTGCAATAAAGATTCCTAAGTACTTAACCTTTTTCACTATCTCGCATCCTGTTACTCTTTCCAATTCTTCTTTTTGATTTATATTCATATTCTTAGCTATCATCTTTGTTTTCCCTGTATTTATTTTAAACCCTGACACTTGACTATATTGCCTAATTATATCCATCAAACCTGTAGCTGAATTTACTGGTTGGGTTAAAGTTACTATCAAATCATCTGCAAATACTCGTAATCTATAATCATGTTGCCTGATCTTAATACCCTGTATGTTATCCGAGTCCCGTATTTTATTCAGCAATACTTCCAAAGTTAAAATAAACAATAATGGAGACAAGGGACATCCCTGTCTTGTTCCTTTCTCAATTTTAAAAGTTTCTGTGAGATTACCATTAACTATTATTTGTGCTGTTTGTTTCTGGTACATTGCCTTAATAGATTGTATGAAATGCTCTCCCAACTGCATCTTTTGTGCTACTTTCACTAAAAACTGCCAATTCAATCGATCAAACGCTTTCTCTGCATCCAAAAATATAAGCACTGCATGGACTTGGTTGTTCTTCCCCAAATACTCCAGTATATTAACAATTTGTCTTACATTACTTTTCATTTGTCTCCCTTGTATAAATCCAGTTTGATCTTTATGAATCACTTGTCGCATAACTGACATTAATCTATTTGCCAAATTTTTTGCGAAGATTTTATAATCTGTATTAAGCAATGATATGGGTCTGTAATTTTTGGGTTGACTATGATCTTGATCTTCTTTTGGAATCAGGGAAATAAAAGCTGTTCTCCAGGATGGTGGCACCTCTCCTCCCCATTGTATTTTAGCAAATAACTCCTTAAGAGGTTCTACCATTTCTAATTGAAAATTTTTATAATACACTGCTGTCAAACCATCTATACCAGGAGCCTTTCCACTTTTTAATTGCTTAATTGCCAGAAGAATTTCCTCAGTGGTTATTAATACATTCAATCTTTCCCTTTGTTCATCAGTAATTACAGGAATATTTTCCTTCTGCAAATATCTCTCTAAAAATGCTTTTTTAATCATATTCTGTTGATATACCTCTTTACCTTTATACTCTATTTTTTCTATTGTACGAGATTTTTGTTTTTTCCTTAACATATATGCTAACCACCTGCCTGGTTTATTTGCATTGCAGAAAGTATTATGTTTGGCATATTGCAAGTTCGTTGCAACTTGATCTGACATCAACATATTAAACTGTCCTCGCAATATTGTAATGGCTTCTTTTATATTCTTGTCATCTGGTTTCTCCACTAACGCCTGTTCCTTCTTTTTTATTTCCTCTTCCAATTCCCTCCGTTTTCCCCCCTGTCTACGTCTATAGGAATTATTCAAATTTATTAAGACTCCTCTCATATATGCTTTACTTGCATCCCATACCATTTCCACAGATGTACCTTTATGCATATTTAAAACAAAAAATTCTTTCATTAACTTTTTACATTCTATCACATTTGCCTCATATCGAAATAGATTTTCATTCAGCCTCCAAGATCTCCTAGACCCCTCCCCAAACTCTAATTCCATCCACACCGGATTATGGTCTGTTAAAGTTCTTGGACATATCTTCGTCTTCTTTACCCTGGAAAGAAAATCATTTGTAGTTAGTATGAAATCAATTCTAGAAAAAGATTGGTGCCTATCAGAAAAGAAAGTAAAATCCTGTTCTTTAAAATTTCGTTCACACCATATATCTCTCAACTCCATATCATCCATCATGTCAAAAAAAGATTTAGGCAATTTAGCCCGTGTTTGAATATTTGGCAAAAGAGTCTTTTTGTCTTTTTTAGTGTCCAATACACCATTCCAATCACCCATCATTAGACATGATTTGTAATCCATTTGTATTAATTTTTTATGCAGAAGTTTATAAAATTTCTCTTGTTGTTGATTAGGTGCATATACTCCTTCTAAAAGTATTTTCTTCCCTTCTATTACTAATTCAATCATTATATATCTTCCTTGTGGATCTGCTTCAATTAATTTAGCCATTAAATCTGTTCTTAGGTATATAACTATGCCATTTTTCTTCTCAGGAGCTGATGCAACAAAATGTTTGCCCAGTCTAGCATTTATTAGGTATTTCTGATCACTTGTTCTAATGTGTGTTTCTTGCAAACAAATTACATCATTTTTAAACTGTTTCAAATAATGAAATATTTTCTTCCTCTTTTGTGGTGAATTTAAGCCATTAACATTCCAGGTCAAAAATTTATTTGCCATCCTTGGCCCCTGAAAGCTTATGGAGCACCGACTGGAAGTCCTCCTGGAATTTCCTCTTCGGTCTAGCTCCTCCCACGGCTTCCATATTTGTAATTGCAATTTCTTGGGTTATTATCTGACTTAGTTGCTTCTTTAATTCTTGTTCTTTACGTCTGGTTGCTGCTCGAGTTTGTCTTTGATCCTTGGGGGTCTTCCATTTTTTCAAATAAATCCAAAAGTTGAACATCCTCTGAAAGTTGCAATAATTCTTGTTGAGTAGTCAAAACACCTCCTTGAGCTTGTGCTTGCATAATTTCCTTTTCCCCCTTTCTGGCCTCTCCTGCTTCTTTCCTTCTTCTGGCTTCTGGAGATGGTAGGTTTCCAGCCTTTAGTATAGTAGTGTAAAAATCTCTTGCCTTCCCAACTGAGTTGAGACGATGTCTCTCACCCAAATAATTCACCACTAATCCGGCTGGAGCTTCCCATCTGTACTGCAACTGACGCCTTCTAAGTTCATCAACTAAAAATGCATAGTCCTTTCAAGATCTCAACATTTTGGGGGGAATTTCCTTCATTACTGAGACCTCCTGTCCTGCCACTTGAAATTTCTTCTTATAAGAAACTTGTAGAACTCTGTTTCTTGTTCTCCTTGTAACAAAGTAGATCACAATATCTCTTGGTAGTTGTCTCTGTCTGGCAATCCATGAATTAACGCGATAAATTTTGTCTATTTGCCAGTCACACTCTGCTTTAGATTCTCCAGTAAACTGAGCAAGGGCTTCTACAAAAATCTCTCTGAGGCTTTCCTGGTTATTTTCGTTCAAGCGTCTGATCCTCACTGCCCATTCTATCGCTCTGTATTGTGTCATTATGAGTTCTGCTTCCGCCTTTTCGATCTTATTTTGAGCCTCTCCCAATTTAGCTTCCACATTCAAGTTAAACTGGTCAATTTCATCCACCCTTTCTTCCAATGATGTAACATGACCCACCAGTCCCTTAAATGCTTCAACAATATCTTATCTTATTGCATCATTTTGGGTTTGAATTGTTTCTTTAATTTCAAGCAGTTCCTCAGACACTTCTTTAATTTTTTCCTCAAAACGGAGTGTGATTTTTTCTTCCAAATCAGTAGACAGTTTCGTTAAAGCTCCTTGAAGAACTTCTAGTGTCAGTGTTTGTGTATCTGGTGGGGCTAATAAAGACTGCATTTTTGATGTTTGAGCTGGATAAGTCCCCGCACTTTTAGTCACAACAGTTTTTATTTGCTTCGCAGCCATCTCCAAACTACACTTTCCCACCAGCCACTCAACAGAACCAACAGGTCTTCTTAATCTCAGTCCTTAATAATTATTATAGCTTGTTGATAAGTCAATATTGTATTCTTTAATTTCCAATCCTCAAAATTCCCCAACAGTCTTTTAAAAGGTGCTGACAGCGTTAACGAGTGTTAATGAGCGTTAACAAGCACTTTCTCTTTTAACTTTCGTTTTCACGCCCTTAAGCAACTCAGCGCCATCTTTTTTAAGCTTTCTCCCATCTCAAGCTCCGAAGGAAGTGGTAATTTATTAGAGTTAAAGTTTAGTACTTGCAGTTGTGATTTCTCCTGTCTTTGCTCTGCCTGCTTTAAAGTCCAATCGATGTAAAATCATTTAGTTCGCAGGGGTGGTCGTGGCGCCCTGTTCTGTTTGAAACAGAAAGGTCCCGGATCCGGAGCTTCTTCAGGTGCTTGGGGAGCTCTCACCCTCCGCACCCCAGGATTAATCCTGGAGGTCTTGGGGAGCTCTACCCACACCTGCCTGCTCGCCTTCCCCTCTTCTCCCGAGGGGGAAGTTCCAAGCCACTAGAACAGCTGATTTTCGCTGCTCTAGCGGCTTTATGAGATTGCGGGGGTTAGTGTTCCCAAGGGAGCTGCCGCCAACGCCTGCAGTGCCACTGGAAGTTCGGTAGTTAAAATTTTTGAAACCCACCACTGGGGTAGGGCTTACAGGTAAAACTCGAAAAATTAGAATATCGTGCAAAACTTCATTTATTTCAGTAATGCATCTTAAAAGGTGAAACTAATATATGAGATGGACTCATTACATGCAAAGCGGGATAGTTCAAGCCTTGATTTGTCATAATTTTGATGATTATGCCTTACAGCTCATGAAAACCCCAAATTCACAATCTCAGAAAATTAGAATATTGTGAAAAGGTTCAATATTCTAGGCTCAAAGTGTCCCACTCTAATCAGCTAATTAAGCCATAAAACGTGCAAAGGTGTTTTTGAGCCTTTAAAGGCACCTGAGCCTTTAAATGTTCTCTCAGTCTGGTTCAGTAGGAATCACAATCATGGGAAAGACTGCTGACAGAAAAACATCACTGACACCCTCCATAGGGAGGGAAAGCCTCAAAAGGTGATTGCAATAGAAGTTGGATGTTCCTAAAGTGCTGTATCAAAGCACATTAATAGAAAGTTATGTGGAAGGGAAAAGTGTGGAAGAAAAAGGTGCAGAAGCAGCAGGGATGACCGCAGCCGGTTGCTCAGTGGTCCAAAGTCCTCTTTTCTGATGAGAGCAACTTTTGCATCTCATTTGGAAACCAAGGAGGAATAATGGAGAGGCACACACTGCAAGATGCTTGAAGTCCAGTGTGAAGTTTCCAGTCTGTGTTGATTTGGGAAGCCATGTCATCTGCTGGTGTTGGTCCACTGTGCTTCATTAAGTCCAGGGTCAACGCAGCTGTCTACCAGAGATTTTGGAGCATTTCATGCTTCCTTCCGCAGACGAGCTTTATGGGGATGCTGACTTCATTTTCCAGCAGGACTTGGCACCTGCCCACACTGCCAAAAGTACCAAAACCTGGTTCAATGACCATGGGATTACTGTGCTTGATTGGCCAGCAAACTCGCCTGACCTGAACCCCATAGAGAATCTATGGGGCATTGCCAAGAGAAAGATGAAAGACATGAGATCGAACAATGCAGAAGAGCTGAAGCATCCTGGTCTTCCATAAACCTCAGCAGTGCCACAGGCTGATAGCATCCATGCCACGCCGCATTGAAGCAGTAATTGATGCAAAAGGGGCCCAAACCAAGTACTGAGTACATATGCATGCTTATACTTTTCAGAGGTCTGATATTGTTCTATGTACAATCTTTGTTTTATTGATTTCATGTAATATTCTAATTTTCTGAAATTGTGAATTTGGGGTTTTCATGAGCTGTAAGCCATAATCATCAAAATTATGACAAATCAAGGCTTGAACTATCTCGCTTTGCATGTAATGAGTCCATCTCATATATTAGTTTCACCTTTTAAGTTGCATTACTGAAATAAATGAACTTTTGCACAATATTCTAATTTTTCGAGTTTCACCTGTATTTTGCAAGCAGCATGAAAAATCATGCTAGGGCTTATTTTCAGGGTAGGTCTTATATTTGGGAAAACACGGTACATACATCCACACATCAATATCTTTTCACAATATTATAAAGGGTTTCCTTCTCTACCTGGCCTCATAGTCATTGCGGATTAGCAGGAAGTGTTGCAAAATTGAGAGGAAATGTTGTTCTGCCTTAGAATCCTTTACTGTATTCAGGAGAATCTGGAAGATTTCGTTGAAATCAGTAAAAAAAATTAAGGATTCAAAAACCATTCAAAAGAAATACAGATGCACAGTGCTAATTCATAAAAGAGACCTAGTTTACTTAATTAAAACCTGATTTCTGATCACTTAGCTATCTCTCTGCTTCAGTAGGAGTTCCCACATATACCTTCAAGGATTATGCCACATTTTCTGTTCTTGTTCTGGAAGCTTAAAATATATTTCCTTAGGGAAGAATATTTTCTAGAGTATTTGTGTGTTTGTGTGTGTGTGTCTGTGTGTGTAAGTATGTACTGTATATGTACACACACACACACACACACACACACACACACACACAGAGCTTGAGAACCCTTGTCAAGTTCAGGGACTAACCAGTCCAAGCAGTCACAAGGAGTCAGCACTGACATAAGATATAACATGGTGATGTGTCAGTGCTGACTCCTCGTGACTGCCTGTTAACTTGACAAGGTTTCTCAGAAGTGGTTTGCCATTGCCTGCTGCCTAGAGCTGAGAGAACAGGATATAAATCTGACAAACTATAATCCTACTGTAACAAGAGAATCTTGGAGACAATAACAACATAAAATAACATAAAACAATAGGATTGGAAGCGACCTTGGAGGTGTTCTAGTCCAACCCACTGCTTGAACAGGAGACCCTGTAACATTCTGACAAATGATTGTCCAATCTCTTCTTAAAAACCTCCAATAATTAAACCTTCCATTAATTAATTGTTCTGTTAGGAAATTTCTACTTAATTCTAGGTTGAATCTCTCTTTAATGCTCTTCCACCCATTACTTCTTGTCCTGCCCTCACGTGCTTTAGAGAATAAGTTGACCCTCAAATACTGGAATATTGCTATCATATCATCCCTCATTCTTTGTTTTAGACTAGACAAACCTAGTTCCCACAACTGTTCATTGTATGGTTTAGCCACTAGACCCCTTATTATCTTTGTCTTATATGCTGAGTTATTGGATGAGTGAGTCATATATTTTGAAATAAAAGGATATTCCATTTCTATTCGAATGTCTTCCAAGCGGCCTCTGAGTTCTGCAGAATCCTCTTCACCATATTCTTCAAACACCTGCAGCTGTAGTTTCAGCTCCTCATTGTCTTGAGCATGCAGTTCCTGTAAAGGACACTGTCACTTCAGAGAATATCCACTAGACATTATGACCCTTTTTTATTCCAAGAAAACTTCAGATTATTTAATGATTGTTTTGTTTTCTCTCTTCCCTTTCCTTTCTCCCCTCCCTGCTCCCCCCCAATAAGAGAACTAATTTGATGAAATTACTTGAGACAAGAGAAAAGTTGATAAACACAAAACTGATGACAATGTCCCTGTCCAAACACCCAGGACATAAGAAGAGAAGCTATTGTATTATTTATATATAGACAATTCATAATTGAACACAAATTGCTCAAGGGCACAAATGACATACAGGGTAGTCCTCAACTTATGACCGCAGTTGGGACCAGAATTTCCATTTCTAAGCAAAACAGTTGATAGGTGAGTTGCACCTGATTTCACAATATTTTTACCATGTCCTTAAACAAATCACACAGCTTTTAGCAACCTAGTTTTACCAATTGACTTTACTTGTTGGAAGTCATCTGGGAAGGTCGTAAATGGTATCACATGACCTCTGGATATTGCAACCATTGTACACACATGCCAGTCAACAAGCACCCAAATTTTGGTCATGTGAACATGGTGAAACTGCTATGGTCATAAGTGTGAGGACAATTTGTAAGCAACTTTTGTTGTACCTTCAAACAGTAACTGAATGATTGTATGTTGAGGACTAGCTGTATACGGATCTTAATTAATAAAAAAAGATGTGAGGCTGAGGATACCAAGCACAGTTCTATCCTTTCCGTACAAGGGATAGGTATGTAAGAGCTTCTATGAAAAGGGCTAACAGCAGAGTTCTCATCTTCATTCAATAATCCATTACATTTCCAACCACGGAGACTACTTCATTTGCATAACTATACATTCCTTATTATTTTAGTTCTGTACCATTCTTCCTTTTGAGAATCCTAGGTAAATAAGGCAGTTATTCTTTTGAAATATGGCCAGTTATAAAAGAACACAGGTATTCCTTGACTTATGACCAATTGTTATGCCAGTTCAGAAAGACAATGGGGAAGCTGGCAGGAAAGGTTGCAAGCTGCTGCTGCCGCTTGCCAAACAATTTTTCTTAAGTTTTTTATTTTTTATAAAGATATCAAATCAAAGCATGAACAGTGTGGCATCTGGGTGTCATACATTCTAATACAAATAAAACTCTTCAGGTTAATCATAATCATTACATTCAATCCGCTTATGTATTTCTAATACACACTTGTGTTAAATTATAGTCTATCATTGTTCAATTATTTCATGTTTTCTCTTATTACTTTCATTTTATGATATAAAATGTATACACTAATATTCCCCCTTCTCTTATTTCTATCATTTATTCGAGCTTTTAATCATATCACCCTTTATTAAGAGACTTTTCCTTTCTTTCCTATCTAACTTCTAATCATGTCACCTATCTAAAAAAAGAAAGAAAAGGAAAAGAGAAAAGGAAAAGCAACTCAGAACAACAACAAACAGAAATCATCCATCCATCATCTCTTGCCCCCTTCAATACTTTAATTGCTATGCTTTAAAAGAAAAATAGGAAAAAGGAAAAGCAAATCAAAACAACAACAAAAATAATTTATCCATCATCTCTTGCCCGATTCAGTACTTTAATTGCTATGCTTTTTTTAAAACTTGCCTCCCGAATTCCTCTCTCAAATCTTTTTCTCTGTCTCTGTCTGCTTCTTGACTGTTCAATCTAGGTATTCTTCCCACCTCTATCCTCTTCCACTGCCTAATTTCTAAAATTTCTACCCAGGCCCCTGTCTTCCTTTCAAACATATCTTCCCACTCTTTTAATATATTTTCCCCCTGGTTTAATTCACCAATCACTATTATTTCCATTGTTGTCTCCTCTTTGTCATCTTCCTTCTTCATTTCTTCTGTTGACTCCTCCCTTTCCCGGGTATCTTGGTCTTTGCTCATCATCCCTCGTATGGTATTTTCCTTTTTTCCCCATAATCTCCTTAAATCCTTTCTCCATTATGTCTTTTGTATTTTGAAAAAGTAAGTCCATCTCCTTCACAATTCCACTCATTTCTTCCTTCTTAAGTATCTTGTTTTATTTTAAATTCAATTTTTATCCAGCTGTCCAAGAACTATTTATTCAATCTTTAAGTTACCCTTCAAGGAGTGCATTAGTCCCCGTTCTTTATGTCCCATAGGTTCCATTTGAGTAGTCCCAGAGGTTATCAAAAGCCCCTTTACAGATTCAATCTTCTAGTATAACGTTCAAGTGTCTCTTTAATTGAATAGCCTCCTCATTTTCATATTTGGGTCTCAGTAATCATAGGGTAGCTAGAAGTAATCCAATGGGCGTTTTCACTGTTCTCATATAGGTATTCCTAGATTTGTAATTTTTCCTTTCGTCAGCAGGTGGCACTCTCCACTTAAATTTCAATTTACTAGTCCATCATCCATTGTCATTTTGATTATAAAACAGTTATAAAAGTAGAATAAGTTTTGTAAATAAATAATTCCAGCATTTAAAATGCTTTCTCAGTACCATGTCTTCCAAATTTAGGGGTCCAATTTTCTATTTATTTCAAAATCTATTATTTTACTCTCATGCGCCTTCATTTCCGGTCAGGTATTTCCTTTGAATGCCCTAAAATGCTTAGACACCGCTTAAAATATAGTTCTGAGCAAGTAGCTCTAGATTGTTTCTTGGGGTTAAATTTAGAGCAAAAGAAAATCCTCTCCCCCAGTTCCAGTCACTGTTCACCTACTTCACTCCAATACCAGTCTTAGATGTTCATCGGTTGTCCCAATTTTGTAGCAACCATCTTTAGCTGCCTCTTCTTCTTGCCATGGCTGAGAGGGAAAAAGAACCCCAGGCCAGACAGGAGAGCTGCGACTCTCCTCGACCTCGCAGGATGTCCCTCTTTGCTTCACTGCCCCTAGGGAGGGGCTTTGGCTCCCTTCAGAGCCCACAAACAGGAAGAACTCAGCACGGGAGCGTGGAAACCCGCCCCGCATGTCCGATCCCGCTGTGACATCAACTGGAAGTCTGCCAAAAGATTTTTCTTTCCTTTCATGCATGTGGGGAGGAGGAATCCTTTGCCAGGCTGCAGAAACGAAGCCACAAAATGGAAAGGAAATCTTGCCCTGGGCTGCAGAAATGAAGCAAAGATCCAAGCTCTGTTTCTCCAGCACAAGACTTTCCTCCTGCGCAAGATGGGGAGGGGAATTCCTTCATTGACCTAGAGAAACAAAATAAGAATCCCACAGCTCTGTTCCCACACTCCACTACAGGAGTTCTCTTCTATTCACAGAGGGGAGCTGCCTGCCCTCTTTCGGCAGGCACAGTGCTTTCACTTTGTTCAACTTAAAACTAGAAGAGCTGGAAATGCACTTTTTGAGCAAGGCAATCATATGGGTGTCTTGCTGAATGACTTCGCTCAATGTGCTAGATTCCAGTGTTAATTATGGCCATAAGTCAAGAATTACCCGTAACCCCCCCCCCCAAAATAATGTTGAAGTATAATTAACCCTATCAAATCACTTACACTTTAAACAGAGTCTTAAGATTATAGGTATTATCTTTCCCAATATAGCAAAGTTATCACAGTAGAAAGGAGATATATTTCTAACCTTGAGGATTTCCTGCAGTCCAGAGCGCATTAATTCACTGCGGATGTGCACTCTGAAGTCAAGCTCATCTGATGGGATGATTAGAGCATTGATCAACTGTAAACAAGCTACCTAAGAAAGTCAAAGAAAAAATATGTGTTGGATCAACAAATTCTTTTCCTTCATTCATTATAAGCTAGCTAATTTGTCAGAACAACTATGAAAAACTGCCAGACAAAATATTTTTTTCCACCAAATTTTATCACAGCAAAGCAACCTAAAAGTGAAATTCAGGTAAACAGTACAAATAGTGTTGAGAAAAAACAAAAACAAGTAAGGAATCAACACTGATAGTTGGAATTCTGAAATCTCATAGATTAAAAACAACACAAGAAACCAAATGAAAAGAACATGTTTCAATTAAACACCAGACAATGATTTGAAGGCAACCCAGCTCATATTCTAAGTCTACTCCAGAACAGAAATCTTCTCTATAAAAGTAATTGATTAATACTTATTGCCAATGGTGTCTCTTGTTCCTATTATATATATGCAGGGAATCGAGTAACCTTGGAATAATATACCTAGAGCAACTTGAAAAGACTTCTCCCTCCTTTTCTATCTCAAAACCAGAATGTAGAATTTTAGACTCACAATGCTTACAAAATGCTTTATAATTAATAAGATAGCTAATATGCTCTTCTAGGGTTTGTTAAGCTAATCAAACCATCTTCCTATTACCTTATTCTAAACAAATTGCCTGATTGCTACCTTGGGCTGGTTCTGAAGATATACAAAAAGAATTTCAGGATAAAAATCCATTGAGAAATCAAGTGTACTCAGTAATGGTGAAATGAAAGAGAAAACAAAAGGCACTAGAATATTATGAAAGATAAGATAGATAGACTGTTATATTCTTTTTCCAGCTTCCTATTACCTTTAATGCCACTGAAGTTCCACTTTTCAGGCCATCCACAATGGGTTTAAATCGTTCTACTTCAACCATTTCTGCACGTTCAGTCAATGCTCCCAAAACTTGCTCATGCCTAACAAAAAATAAAGGAATCACAAAAAATAGAAAGAAAAAAGGAAGAAAAAGGAGGGAAATAAAAACCAGCTTTTATCATTGTTAGATACCAAGTCTGCATTTTTTTTAAAAAAATCTTATTTTGACGTGGCATTTTAAAGATCCAATATTAAAATTTAGGATGCCAATCAAATCCTTCTGAATTTGAATGTATCAAATTTAGACTCAATTGTACAACTGGGATGTACTCACAGATTATATCTGGCATTTGATGTTTTTGTAAAGGGTACAAATAATTAATCATCAAGTTTATTAAATTCAAAGTTTGCTCACAGCTGCCAGTGTTTTTATTAATTTTTTATTGTCTTCCTTCAGCAGGCAATGTACTGTACCCCCTAGAACATAGACTCAAAACCACTGCTCAACTCAGGAAAACTTACAGTATCCTGGTCAAGTGGTTGTCCAGTCTATTTTTGAAAACCTCCAGTGACGGAACACCCACAGCCACTGAGGCAAGCTATTCCACTGATTAATTGCTCTGTCATAAATTTTTTCCTTACTTTTAGGTTGGATCTCTCTTTAACAAGCTTCCAGCCATTACTTTCTGTCCTGCCCTCAGGTGCTTTGGAGATTAAGTCAGTCCTTCAAGTACTTGGAAGACAGCTATCATGTTCCCCCGCATCTTTCATTTTGACAGGCTAAATCCCTCAGCCATTTCTCATACAGTTTAGCCTCCAGACGTATTATCTTTGTTGTCTTCTCTGCACACTTTTGAAGGTCTCAGCATCTTTTTTCTATCATGGTGACCAGAACTGTACCAGTATTCTATTTGTGAACTTACCAGTATAGTATTATACTATTATAGTATTACCAGTACTAAAATCTCTCGTGATGTTGATGCTATCCTGCCAAAACTTTGCTGGCTCATATTTAAGTGGTGATCCATAGGGTTACGGTTAGGGTTAGTCAGTGCCAACTTACCCAGAGGGAGACACGATCGCGTTGTGTGCAACTAGAGTGGGCGGGAGGAAGCCCTGGAAAGGCAGCGTTAGGCGCTGCTAGGGCTGGAGAGGAGGGCATCAGAGGGCAACACAATGGCGCTGCCGCTTGCTCTTTTCGCTTCGCTTTCAAAGATGCACCTGCCCTCCTGCCACTGTTCCCCTCTTGCGACAGAGTGGGCAGTGTGGCCCTCCGCTTTGCTAGACCTAGTCAGCTTGTGCTGAGCACTGCCTTCTTCAGGGGTTGCTGCTGAAAGCGAAGAGAGCTAGGTAGGTAGGTAGGGAAGGAGGGAGAGGGAGAGAGAGAGAGAGAGAGAGAGAGAGAGACAGAGACAGAGACAGAGACAGAGAGACAGAGACAGAGACAGAGACAGCGAGACAGATAGATATGGGGTAAGAGGCTGCGTGATTTATTTTCTTTCTCTCTCCTCGCTGTCTGCCCCGTTTAATGATCTGATTAGACTAGAGTGATCAAAGCTATTATCAGATGAATGCACAGTGTCTCGATTGTCAAAATGCAAACCAGTTTGAAACTACAACACGTTGTAGTATCTCAGAAATTGCCAAGCACCAGCTTCTTGCCAGATTCTCAGTCCATCCTTCTCCCAATTAGCATAGACATCATAAAATGCTCAAAGTATTAACAAAATTAAGTATGAGTTTCTGGTGAATTTCTTACAAGGATCCTTACCTTCCAGCCTGCAGGGCTTGCAAAGCTCTGCTCACCGTGGCTGGAAATGCAGGCTGGGGGAGGGGGCCAAGAAGAAGGGGAGAAGGGGAAAAAAACACCTTGCCCCAAGCACGCTGCACTTCCCCTTTGCCCGAATCTGTCTGCAAGCCTGAAGCTGTGAGGAGGATCCTCACCCACTTTCTATGTAGTCAACGTTATTTTGAAACAGTGGCAGGTCTGGCTTGGGGGGAGGGGTTGGGGGAGACTCTGAAGTGAGCTGGGGGTTTGTGTGTGTCTGTGTGTGTTCTCTCTTTCTTCCTCTCCCTCCTTTTTTGTTCGTGAGAAATCTCTGTTTTAGTTACAGTCTTAATTGATGCAGTTCTCAGTCTGGTTTATTGTGTGGTCATCTGAAACATATGATCAGGAGTTATTTTGAAGGAAATCCTGTTTGTTTTATTCTTTTTTTAATGGCCTATTTTAAGGAACTTGAAGCTGCTGTTGTAATAAAGTTAGGCAAATGGCAAGAAAGTTTGCGCTCTTTTTCCCTTCGGGGAGGGGGGGTCTTATTAAATAAATAGATGCCTTTGAGCAAGTACAGCTAAGAAAGGACAAAGGCAAAATGGACTGCTAAATTGGCCCCACCCACCCAGTCACATGACTATCTAGCCACGCCCACCCTGCCGGTCATTAGACAGATAAGACTATAGTCCGCCCCCCCAACAGTCTGAGGAATTGGTCCCGTTTAAAAAGTTTGAAGACCCCTGTTCCAAAGTATTAGCAATTCCCTCCAGCAAATCTGATGACTTCCTTTTCTATCCCTCATCTAGATCATTTAGGAAGATGATGAAGAGTACTGGGTCCAAGACAGAACTTTGAAGTATCTAATGAATACTTCTCTCCATGTAAATATAGTTCCATTAACTAAATGTTTAAATAAAAAATTAAACTTTCATTTCTTCATTACAAAAGGCTCAATTAATAAATTATTACCTTTTAGGGATATAAACTGAAAACATGTGAAATCTCTTTGAGTCCTTGTAGCACACACTTCATTTTTCTCTCATTATTACATTTTTCTGTTTTATTTTCTTGAAGAGGGAAAAATACTGCCTTCCTAAATATAGCTACATATTTTATTTCTCTTCATATATCAAAAATGTTTTGAACAAAATTGTGCAAAAGTGATGGGCGAGGAATCTAATTGATGTTACAAAAAATATTTTACTTGAATTAACCATTCATAACAAGTAAAAGTTAGGAAGATATGTAAACAGAAGTAAATTTGTGAAACTAACTTTGCTGTTTCTTCATCTCTTGCCATAACTTCCATTTATGTTCTGAAAAGCTATAGGTGTAAAACTTCCTTAAGAAACATGGGATAAGGGTAATGGCTTCAGGAAGAGAAGGAAGAGCATATTGCTTCAACTTTTTTTTCCTTGGGATATTCAGAACTCATCTATTGCACCAATTATGTGCTTATTAGGAGGCATAACTGATAAAGAAACCATATTTTAATATATTTTTCCAAACATTTAAATCAGTAAACTAACCCATTCTTCTACAGCATACAACTGAACCAAAACATAAACTACTCATTGTCACATACATATCCACAGGCTGAGGCAGGATGCAGAGAGCAGAGAGTAGCTTGATAGTGTCAATCATCATTGTAGGGACTTTAGGATCAACTGCTTTTGCCAAAAGTAGAATCCCATCATCTGTTTCAAGCATTGTCTTAATTCCAAACTAAAAAGTAAAAATCAATATACCCTCGGGTGAATAATTTAGATTATAGAAATAATACTCATGACACAAAATGATGCAAATCTAACAAAAACATTACATTAGATGTTCAGAAAACAAGAGAAAGGGAATATGTTCCCATTACTTTGCTGGTTTTGCGCATGTTTTTTATTCCCCTGCTTGGGGGAATAAAAACAACTTCTAAAACACAGCTGATCTTTGGAGAGAGAAGCAATGAGAAAAGAAGGCGAAGCTCAGAAGATCGCTTCACTAGATCGCTAGCGCCTTGTTAGGGCTGAAAAAAGCTTCTCATGCACACGTGAGAGTCGGAGGAAGCAGGCAAAGCAGAGAGATCACTTCACTCGCTAGCGCCTTGTTAGGGCTGAAAAAAGCTTCTAAAGCACAGCTGAGAGTCAGAGGGAGCAGGCAAAGCTTGGAAGATTTCTTCCTAGCGCCTCGTTAGAGATGAAATTTTTTTTGAAAAAGCTACATTCGGAGTATAAGACGCACCCAAATTTTCAGCCTCTTTTAGGGGGAAAAAGTGTGTCTTATACTCTGAAAAATATGGTAATAGGGGACTTACTTTGTTGTTCATAAAAGCTTTTAAGCATCTAATAATTTCATGTTCAATCCTGAAGTCATATGACCTGGTAAAAACAAGAAACAAAACTGAAATAATAATTATACACACAGAATTATCTATTTATACAATTGGCCTTCCATCCCAGAACATTAAAAAAAACATGCAACACCATAAGAAATTATAGCAGAGTGATCCTAACTATATCAAAATTCAGTAGAGGAGTCAGGGAAAGATATGACAGGATAAGAATACTACGCAGAAGACAAATTCCATTATACACAATCTTATGGATCCATACATCCATTCAAAAAAGCACAACAAAGAATGTTCTTTCTGTGCCAACTCAGAAAGCTCAAACTGCCCAAGGAGCTGCTGATACAGTTCTACAGAGGAATTATTGAGTCTGTCATTGGCACCTCTATAACTGTCTGGTTTGGTTCTACAATCCAACAAGACAGACACAGACTTCAGAGGATAATTAGAACTGCAGAAAAAACAATTACTACCAACCTGCCTTCCATTGAGGACCTATATACTGCACGAGTCAAAAAAAGGGCTGTGAAAATATTTACAGACCCCTCGCATCCTGGACATAAACTGTTTCAACTTCAAAATGACACTATAGAGCACTGCACACCAGAACAACTAGACACAAGAACAGTTTTTTCTCGAACGCCATCACTCTGCTAAACAAATAATTCCCTCAACACTGTCAAGTTACTAAGTCTGCATTACTATTAATCTTCTCATCGTTCCTATCACCATCTCCTCCCACTTATGACTGTATGACTGTAACCTTTTGCTGGTATCCTTACGATTTATATTGACTGTTTCCTAATATGATTTGATTGCTTATCTGTTCCCTATGACTATCATTAAGTGTTTTACCATATCTGAGGTGGCGCGATGGTTAAAGTGCACTACTGCAGGCTACTTCAGCTGACTGCTAGCTGCAGTTCAGCAGATCAAATCTCATTGGCTCAAGGTTGACTCAGCCTTCCATCCTTCCGAGGTAGGTAAAATGAGAACCCAGATTGTTGGGGGCAATATGCTTACTCTAAACCACTTAGAGAGGGCTGTAAAAGCACTATGAAGCGGTATATAAGTCTAAGTGTTATTGCTATTGCTACTCTTGACGAATGTATCTTTTCTTTTATGTACACTGAGAGCATATGCACCAAGACAAATTTCTTGTATGTCCAATCATACTTGGCCAATAAAGAATTCTATTCTGTTCTGTTCTGTTCTGTTCTGCTCCTATTCCTATTTCCTATTCTATTCTCCTTATCCTATCCAGATGTCCTTATTTTTTCTCCTTTAATTTTTGTATACCCAAATAAAACACACAATTAAAACATATTTCCAGCATGCAAATATGATCTTATCCATCCACCCATCTGTATTTAAAGTTATATTCATTCAACCTTCCAACCTATCTACTTTATGAAAGCCAGTGTATTTAAAGTCCTGGAATAGGTATGGAGACCCAGGTTCTAGACCTCCTTTAGGCACAGAAATTCACTTGGTGATTTTGGGCCAATAACACCCTCTCAGCCCTACACTTCTGAGAAGTCAAAAAACATCTCTCTACCAACCAGCATGGTAGATTACAATCCATATAATTTGTGTATAATCCGTATATACAAATGAGGCAGAATGTGTGGGCGTATACACAAATTTATCCAGATGCATATGTGTGTGCAAGCATTCCATCTAGGGGGATTGTGAATTAAGCATATTCTATCTATATTATACTATATTAAGTTTATTATCTATACTAGTTTAAATAAATACATATAAAAATCTATCCATATACAAATGGATAGATTTTATCATCATTTTACCACAATTTAAACTATTTTAATTCAAATGCTCCTTACCCAGAAAACTCATCCTTCTCATCATGAAGACCTTTCAATATGTCCAGCAGGCAATTCAGACCTTCAGCTCCAAAATTTTGCACCCAGCTGCAATTGTTGCAGAATAAAACACATTATTACCTAAATAAAATAATTACCACTTCATCTTCTCATTGCACTGGCGATTGCATAAAGGTAGTCCTTGACTTGCAACCACAATTGGGACCGGAATTTCCATTGTAAACTGCTGTGGTCATAAGTCGATCTGGACCTGATTACCATATTTTTCAGAGTATAACTTGCACCGGACTATAAGATGTACCTAACTTTTTTGGTGAGGAAAACAAGAAAAAGAAATTTGCCTCTGCCTCTGCCTCTGCCTCCCAGCAATTTTGCCTCGTTACAGCAAACAGCAAATAGTCTACTTTTCTTTCATTTTCAGCATAGCTTGATTAGCACAAGAAAAAAAAATCTGCTCCAGCAATTTACCTCTTTGCAGCAAGCAGCAGAGGCCCGGGCAAAGCAGCTGAGAGCAAAACAGCTGAGAGTCGGGAGGCCGATCCAATCAACTTGTGCTAATTAGGCTGTGCGGAAGCTGAAAGGAGCTGTTTCTTCTTGCTGCTTGCAGCAAGGAGGTAATTGCTGGGAGGCAGAGGCCAAAGGGTGTAGGGCCAGTGTGTGGGCGGGGCTACATTCGGTGTATAAGACACACCTAAATTTTCACCCCCTTTTAGGGGGGAAAAGGTGCATCTTATACTCCGAAAAATACGGTAAACACATTTTTTATGGTGGTCATTAATCAAAGCATTATAATTGTTAATTAAATCATGCAGTTGTTAAGTGAATCCAGCTTCTCTAATGAGTTGTTTTTATGCCAGAAATTAGCAAAAAGGATCGCAAATCACAATCACATGACCACAGAGTGCTGCACCCAGTAGCTGGATAAGATGTGCCCAAATTGTGATCATGTGACTGTGGGGGAGGTGCAACCATCATAAGTGTGAGTACAGGTCATAAGTCACTTTTTCTGAGGCCATCATAACTCTACACAGTCGTTAAATGAACAGTTTTAAGTCGAGGACTACCTCTACATCTGTCTCCAGACATGCATCATGCCCACAAATTTTAAACTTTGCAGTATTTAGCAATCAAGAAAGTTTTATCTGAACCATTACCTGACAGGATTGTTATTGAGTGACACACGTAGAGACTCTAAACATCCAAGAAGCTGTGCATCTTTAAGACCAGATTTTAGTTCCTGAATATACATAATAGGAGACTTCGAGCTCTCCTTTTGACTCATGCCCTACAAACGAAAAAATAATGATAAATGTATGTCCATTATTTCTAAATTAAATACTGTATGTCTCAACAGCCCAGAATAAAACTCTTTAATTGATTTTTTCTCTAATACTCAACAGATGAATACAACGAAGTTTCAGTTTTTAAAAATGGTTCAATTGGATATTGTTGAGCTATATCCAATTACATTCCAGAATTATATTCCTTTTCTATTTGCTATAATTTAGGGCTATTTATTATTCAGTATTTGAATACTGACTTTCTACTATTTTCTCCATCCTAAAAAGTTTTATTATTATTATTATTATACTTCATTCCAAAAATATATTAGAATATAGCTGGCAATACATTGCATGTTTACCTTATAATTATAATTCACAATAGAAATTTGTTACTCAGATTTTCTTGTAAAAATGTCAGTCTAGGATTGATTTCAGGAACGTGGAATCGGTTATTACTGTTTAATATGTACATTTCTTGTCCAGCAAGTACTCAAGAAGACAAAAACAAGTAGAAAATAGAAAAGATGCAGTTTGGAGAATTCTTTACACAATCTATTAGGGCAATCTATCAGAGACAAACAGCACAAATAATAATTAATGGTGGTTTAACAGAAACTTTTAAAATTGAAAAAGGAACAAGACAGGATTGCCCTTTATCACCATTATTGTTTATTTTAACTTTGGAACCTTTATTGAATAAAATACGAGGGTCAAATAAAATAAAGGGAATTAAAATTAGACATCATGATTATAGATTAAGAGCATTCGCAGATGACTTGGTTGTTACTTTAACTCAACCAGTACAATCAGTTATAGGTTTAATGGATATAATTAGCCAATATGGACAAATGTCTGGATTTAAAATAAATAAACAGAAAACAAAGATAATAACTAAAAATATGACGGTAAAGCAAAAAGAAGAACTAGAAAGACTAACAGGATTTGAAATAGTAAAAAAGGTTAAATATTTAGGGGTATATATTACAGCTTCAAATGTAAAATTATATAAAAATAATTATGAATTGTTATGGCAAAAAATACAAAAAGAGATGGAGAATTGGGAAAAATTACAATTATCTCTGCTGGGAAGAATAGCAGCAATAAAAATGAATGTTTTACCTAGGTTTTTATTTTTGTTTCAAATGATACCAATACTCAAGAAAGATGAAAATTTGAGGGAATGGCAGAAGGGTATTAATAATTTTGTTAGGGCAGGGAAAAGACTGAGAATAAAGTTAAAAATAATGCAAGATATATGTGAAAGAGGAGGTCTTAAAATGCCTAATCTAAGATTATACTATGATGCAGCTGTCCTAACAATAATTAGTGACTGGATTAATTCAACAGAAGAAAGAATATTGAATATTGAAGGATATGATTTGTTATATGGCTGGCATGCTTATTTATTATATGATAAAAAGGTGGATAAGACCTTTAAAAGCCATATACTAAGGAATGCCTTGTTACGAGTTTGGAAAAAGTATCAATATAAGTTAAATTATAAGATACCTATATGGGCAATACCCAGACATGCAATAGAGAATATAAATATAGAACAAAAGCAAGAGGTGATTACCTATAAAGAGCTTCGTAAAATGGAAGGGGGTATATTGCAGTTAAAATCTTTAAACGCATTAAAAGAAGAAAGAATAATTCAAACCTGGTTTCAGTATGGTCAGTTGCAAGCTAGATGGAGAGAAGATCAGAGAATTGGTATCATGCAGAACGAGGAAAATTTGGTAAAACAAATTAGAGATCAAGGTCAAATGCATATAAAAAGATTATATAATATACTGATAGAAATAGATTCAGAAACGGAGTTAGTTAAGGATTGTATGATAAAATGGGCACAAAACATTCAGGAACCAATAATGATGGAAACTTGGGAAAAATATGGGTTAGAAATGTAAAATTTACGCAAGCACAAAATTTAAGAGAAAATTTTTATAAAATGTTCTATAGACGGCATTTAGATCCTAAAAAGTTGGTTTGTATGTATCCAAATTTGCAATCTAAGTGTTGGAGATGTGATTGTGATGATGCCACTTATTATCATATATGGTGGACTTGTAAAAAAGTTAAAGCATTTTGGATTAAAATTTGGTGGATTATTCAAAATATTCTTAAAAAGAAGATAAAGTTTACTCCACAATTGTTTCTGCTGGGTATAATCACGGATTGTACGGTTATAGAGACTAAATTGATTTTAAATTTAATAACTGCAGCTAGACTTTTGGTGGCGCAATATTGGAAGAAGGAAGATTTGCCTACTATTGAAGAATGGACATTAAAAGTAGCGAATTTGGCAGAAATGGCGAAAATCTCAGCATATTTGAAAGATCATTCACAAGAAAGATATATATCCGAATGGAGAAAATGAATTGATTATATTCAAAACAAATATCGGACTAAAAAGTATCAAATAGCTTATGAATGAATAGAAAAATTAAGAGTATTTATATTTAGTTAAGTAAAAGGGGAGTTAAAGTGTGAAGGGGGGATAGGAATCCATAGTTAGTTAGCTTAGTTTAATATGATTATTAATTGTTATACCCTGTATTTTGTTCTGGGAAGTTCGGGGGGGGGAGGTTGGGGGGGGTAAGGAAGGGAGGGGGGAGGGGGAAATATCCGTAAAAAAAAATTTTTTTTGTAAAACTCTTTAATAAAAAAAAAAAAACAAGTGAGACTTGTTAAGTTAGACTAAAACAAAAAATGGAATATAAACTTATTATAAATTGAGTTTAATAATAAAATATTAAAATCAATTAACAATTAAAAGCTTGGCAAAAAAGATGGGATTTACAAATGTTCTAAATAGGATAGTAGGATCCAAATATTTATCTTAACAGGAAAGAGTGTTACTTAGGTAGTCAGCATCAAGCTACTTAAGACTTTAAATTGAGCTCTCAAAATATGTTCAGTAAACTGCCAGCAACCAATTTTTCAGTAGAAGTACTGCATAGTTTCTGCACCTTGTACTTCTTAACAGCCTATACTGCCTAGCTTATACACCAACTGAAATTTCCAAAAATTTACAAGGGTACTCACCAGTGATGGGTTTCAACTGGTGTTACCACTGGTTTGCTTTGTGCATGCGATTTGCGTGTGATCCACATGCGCAAACGTGGATCCACGTCCACACCAAATGGATGTTCCACTCTTACTTCTTGTCCTGCTCTCAGGTTCTTTGGGGAATAGGTCAAAAAACCCTCTTCTCTGTAACAGCCCCTAACCCTAACCTTTAGTCCTTCTCTTCGCTAGACTAGACATACCTAGTTCCCTAAATGATTCATCATATGGTTTAGCCTCCAGATCCCTTATACAGGTAGTCCTCGAATTACAAATGTAATGGAGCCTGCCCATACTTTGAACGTGATCACTCTCTCCTTTCACCCACGCATCCACTAATCAAATGCGAGCCTCGTTAAGTGCATATGAGATATCTTGGGGTGGGGAAGGCCATTGGGAGGGACTTAGTGATGGAACAGGCCACCCAAGGCCTCCCCCAACCCACTGAAATACCTCATGCTCCCCACAATTGTTTCTTTCCCCTCCAAACCTGCCGTGCCGGGTCACTTACCTTGTGAAGATCTGTCTCCACTCCAGCGTTTGTTTCTTTGCCTGCTCCTGGCCAGCAGCGAGAGCAGAGGGAGAGGAGGACAAGCACGCCCTGCTCGGATTCTCTGATCACTGAACTTGCCTGCCATTTTTGGAGTGGTGGGTAGTCTCAGTGACTCTCCTCCAAAGGCTTCCAAGTTCCATGCGGAAAACCATTTGCACAAAGTGAGGCTTTGGGGCAGCAAACTCGCATTGCTCCAAGCACCTCATTAGCGTGCAATCACTTTTTCCACAGAGACTGGAACCTTCTGGGTGCCCTGATTCTGTGGGACGTCAGGCACCCATTCTCTACAAAAGTAGATGGGTGCCTGAACTCATGCGAGACCATGCACCCCCAACATTTCCAGTCTTCGTCTGGGTTAAACGTGTTTGAGCGGCCCTGGGGATGTTGGAGGGAATTGCTTTTCGCTCCGTTTCCAACTGCCCTAGACTGCTCAAACACTTATCACTCTGATGGAGACTGCAAACTTTGTCTGCATGGAAGCGGGGAGCTTGAAAATGGAGCTTTTCACTTCATTTCCAACCACCCCATTTCCATGCAGACAAAGTTTCTAGTCTCTGTTAGAGTGACAAGTGTTTGAGCAGCCCTGGAGCAGTTGGAAACGGAGCGAAAAGCTCCGTTTTCAAATGTCCCATTTCTATGCAGACGAAGTTTGGAGTCTCCGTCAGGTCTCATCAAGGCACCAAGTGTTTGAGCTACCCTGGGGCAGTTGGTAACGGAGCAAATCGCTCCGTTTCCAACCGCCCGAGGGTCACTCAAACACTTGGTGTCCTGACAGAGACTGGAAACGTCATCTGCATGGACCTGGGGCGGTTGGAAATGGACACTATTCGCTCCATTTCCAACTGCCCCTTTTGCATGCAGAAGAAATCTCCAGTCTCTGTCAGGTCTCGTCAGGGTGCCAAGTGTTTGAGCGACCCTGGGACAGTTGGAAACAAAGCAGATCACTCTGTTTCCCACTGCCCCAGGGTCGCTGAAACACTTGGTGCCCTGACGGAAACTTTGTCTGCATGGAAATGGGGCACTTGAAAAGGGACCTTCTCTTCAGCAGAGGCCTTGAGGAGAGGCCTGTCCTGGCAAAAACAGAGCTTCAGAGCAGCGCACATTCCCTCTGGGAGGGAGCAAAGGCTTTTTGCAAAGATTGCAAAAGGCGTTGGAAACAGAGGGAAAGCTTCAATGTTTCAGGCCTTCCCACCATTTGCAGAGCCTTTTGCTGCAGCTCTCATCCAGGCCTCAGTTTGCAGAGAACAGAGGCCTAAAGTACGTGAGATCACACGAGATCAATAGTGTGAGTTCTCATGCTACTGAACTAGTGTGATCTTGCAGTAATTTAGGCCTCCATTCTCCGCATACTCACCAAAGGCCTGAAGTGCCAAAACAGGC